CGTTGTTTTTTTTTGAAAGAGTTGTATATTCTTGAGATACAATCATACAATCTAAATAATGAAAAGAAAACAGTTGACGAAATTTCAATTATTGTATTATAATTTATCGAAAGAATGATGTAAAACAAAGTGTGTGCAAGAAAAACATCTGGAAAGAACAACGCCAATGTTGTCTGAAGCACAAAATAATAACATCATACCTATTAAAATACTCCTTAAAAAAATCAACGAAAGCGAATTTCAAAGCTTCGTAAAGATAAAAATTTTACATAGAAGTTCGCTTTAATCTAGTCCGATATTTTGAGTTTAAGTGTTTATCAACAGCATCTTTTATTAGAACTAATCATCCGTGAAGAATTCAGTCCGAATGAATCATATTGAATGGAAAATTCATTCTGATGAGAGGAAATAAATCAATCATTTGTGAAACTTCAGCCTTTGAAGCGAATCGTCGAAATATTGAAGAAAAATCCAAATCCTATTTTCGTATTATTCAATATTCTTCATAAACAATCCGAATAAAATTTTTCATTGCGAAGCTCCATTAATCATGAATTGTATATATGTATGGTTTCTTTAAAGTAATGCAAAAAAAAAATTGTATTATATGCAATACATTCGAATGACTTCATAGCAATGGTTCATTTCTTATTGCTTTTTATATTTTTCATATTTTCAGTATTAACAAACGCACAAGTCGGTAGGATATTTAACTAATATTTTCGCTAAAAATAAAGATAAATATATCTATTCTTATATGTAACATAGAAACTGAAAGTTCTCTTACAAAATCAGCATGGTTTTGGCCTTTATTGACTATTTGTCTCATACTTATAGTTGGTATTCCATGTATATTCATTATTGTATTTGTTATTTGCCGTGTGAAATATAAATTAAATTATGATTCAGATGAATCAAGTATGGGTTCAAATTTATCATCCTCATCATCATCATTACCAAGAGTACCAGTTCAACAAGAAAGACGACGTATACACTCTCGTCATCAACGTTCGCGTCACGTAGAAGGTTTTCGTACTCCACCGCCTCCTTATACAACAACTGAACAACCACGAACTCTTTTTGTAACAACATCACCCCCACCTTCATATGAATCTCATGTTAATGAAAATGCATCAACAACAAATTCTTCAGCTGTAATTAATATTCCATCGACAGGATCTATTGAGAATTCAACAACAACGGCAGCAACAACAACAAGAACAATCGATGTATCATCATCAACAATAACAAATCCATCTATACAAACATTTCATGCTTAAAAAAGAGAATACGTCAAACGCATCTCGTTTTTTTTTTCTATTCAATGTGCATCTTTCGTTTTTGTGCATTTTTTTTCAAGGAAAGGGAAAAAAACGTCTTATTCGTGACTGCCGTTGCTATAAGAGCAAAAAAAAAGAAGTATAGAACGAAGAACAAAAAAAAAAAAAGAATATGGATGATGAAGCATCGTGTACGAATAGAAAAGCTATGAGTTAATTTATTTACTCGACAGAATTCATTTTGTTTGATTAGTATACGAAAAAAAAATACAGTAGATTAAATAAGAAAGAAACAGATGTGCGTAAAAAGAAGACTTATATCCACATCGAAACATATACATATATATATATATATTTCACTCAAATGCAAACAATAAAATAAGTAAAGCTTAACTAACAAATACATTAACAGACAGATAGCATCATGTTCTCTAGATATTTGATGAAAATTGATCAAAACGAATGGGAAATTGATTGTTAGGTGGTTGACTGAGATCAATGTAAGATTTTTAGAAGTAATCGTATTGAATACAAAATATCATCATGAATAAGACTAACTACAGCAAACGTAGCTGATTTCGTACAGTTTCATTTGTTTTATTAAATTCGAATTTAATATCATGAAGACCGTCTTTTGTATTTCAATATCAATCCAATCTTTTTACAAAGAAAATTAAAATTGAAGAATTATCCAAATTTATTTAACTTCGCAATACCAATTTCGATAGCATTTAATACATCCTCACTCGTTCAATTCAGCACTATGATTTATATTCCAGTTTGAAAATGAATATATGTACTGAAATTCATTGTTTCTTATGATTAGAGATCTTTTTCGTTCTTGAATTTCATTACTTAAATGATGATAACGATTGCAGTTTGTCGAACTCAATTGCTAACAAAATTCATTTACTCGATCATTATACAATAAAAAACAATTTGATAAAAGTTCAATTTTTTACAAACCATATTTTTAATGTGCATTTTAATACTTGATTATTATCAATTGATAGATTTCGCATTCCCGTTCTCGTTTTGTTCGTAGCTGTTAGTAATGTTAATTCATACGAAGATTGATTTTACTATGTTATTAACATATCATTTTTTTTCAAGTACGAAGTATATCTGGAAGCCAGTAATGGAATTAGAAATATGTAACTGCCTTGAGAGCATCCTTCTCAACAGCAAACACTGGTACATAGATCAAACTATTCCGTTGGACAAAATAGACACATCAGTCAAACTTATGTATCAAATGGTCGACATAACAAATAAAAGAAGACAGACAATAAAAAACATCAAGCGATCAAAAAAATATATCTTTCAAAAAAAGAAAAAGGAAATCTTTCGATTTATATTCATTTATAAGCATTACAAGAGTATAAAAAAATATTTAGCGATGACGAATTTTTTTTCTTATTATAGATTAATTATGATGTCGGTGTGGATCTTGTTTTTCAGTCTCATCCATCCATACTCATGCTTCACTGTCACGGCCGCATCAATGCATCATTAGATCTAGGACACGTTTTTGAAACGATTCAGTCTATAACGATATGTAATTTGTATCACTTTATTCGAATATGTCAACGATAAATAACCTTTTCTGATGTTTCTTTGAACAAGTTTTATGTCCCATAGACCGCAAAGAAAGTGATGATTACCAAGATAGTTCAACCGTAAATGAATTAGTACTTAGTATCTTTGTCGTCATCTTCATAGGATTCTTCAATATTTATTACGGTGCCTTCTTTTACGGGAATCTTTTTGTCGAACATTCATGTCGTTGACATAAGATGTATAGACAAAAGAAAGTGTTGAGCTTAAGTATACGATATGTTTATTGAGATTTGAATCAAATTCAGACTATTTGATTTTAAAAAGCATATATACTAGTGTGAGTATGACTTCTTCTTCATCTAGAATGATCGATAACTTAGATATGTCGACTGTTTTTCAGTTGCTGTCCGATACTTCCTCGATATCAATTATGATTAAAGTATTTCCGAACATTTCTGCCATCTATCGAGCTTTCAACGTAGCCCCTCTATAAACGATTCCAATGTAGGGTTTACCGTGACGCTCGATGTATAGATTAAACAATGTTTCGTAATGTCCTAGGTTTTTAACATCTAAAGCATAATAGTCGCCTAAACGTTGATGGAATGCTCGAAATAAAAATTATGTTTGCGTGTCAAGTCTAATACAGTGTTCGAGTATCGCTTGTTCACCATACTTTATCATCTCAAGTAGACTAGTATTCATTGTTTTTGCTTCATTCTTACACCTTCTTTCTTTGCCGATCGCGACAATATCATTTACATTCGTACAAGGTGATCGGCTCTGGAGCCTTTAAAATACACAAAAATTTCACAGTAATGTCAAAGCCATGTAATATGACAAAAGCTTTTTGGTCGTAGAAAAGATGGACGATTAGAAGAAGTTGCTTGCATAGAAGACATAGAATGAGTTAAGATGAGATTAAACGACATGAACCACTGATCGCTTCGTCGTATACACCAATTTCTCATTGAAATGACAATCAGAGAATTAAACTAAATGATAAAATTGTCGAATGCTTGTTCACTCAGTGCTGTTTGTTTTAATTTTAGAAGAAAATAAGAGGGCAGCGAATAAAAACGAAACAATCTCTGTGTGATCAGCAAGAATTGTCAAAAGAAACAATGAATGAAAAAAGACGAACAAAAATAAAGTGAAACGAAAACTATAAGAAGAATAACAAGAAAAAAAAACAAAATAAAACAGACAAGTTGAGAAGGTTGAGAGTAATTGTAATAGATACATGAAGTAACGCGATACTCATATGATTGAGTCATATATTATGCAATTCAACTATTTTTTTAAAGATTGTGTGTGGGCGTCGGATGTCATCGTCATCCATACTCCATCCTCCCTCCATACGGAACAACGAAGGTGAAGCCATTTATTCGTCTGAAAATGATTATTGGTTATCCTTTCATGTGTAATTGTCAAAGATTCTTTATTCAATAGATATTCATATTGAAACTATCTGTTTAGGCTTATGTCAAAACAAGACTTTAGTAGTTATCAAAACTCAGTCATCATCGCCATGTTTGTGATCAAAAGTGACCTGTTGAAAAGATGCAAAGGCTCATAAGAAGGAACGAGGAACTAAATGAATTTAAGATAAAATACATCAATCATGCAGTGAATAATTGCAATTCGAATTTCAATAGAAAAAGCTATGTATTTTTTTTTTCTTTCGACAAATAAAAATGGAAATCTTAAGACATCAAACAATGAAATGGGGTCTACAAATTCGAAAACAGAACTCCCATTGTTGCTGTTTTTCGGTTACAATTGAACAAAATTGAGTACGAACGTGAGTGTAAAAGTTTGTACAGGCAAAAGGAAGGACCACGCTCATACCCATTCATCAACAAAATACATTCTCGATTTTGTGCAAATGTCCTGTATGAATTTTTGTTCGTTTATATGTATGCAAAGTACGAAATTCGCACCTTTTCATGTCTGCATAATAAGTCCATTGTTTGGAATTTCATCTTCACATTCTGTCTATTAATTTTTCTTGAATTCAACGTCGAAAGATTAGTATCTGGTTTTGTTGATGTCCTCTTTTGAAACTATCGAGTGTTCAGCTTTTGAAAATGTTGGATTCAGAATACGCGAAACTGGAAGCGAGCATACAGAAGAAGACAAATTTAGTTTTCTCTGTCACTAAACTAACAAGTTTTGGACCATGCTCCATCGATCAACGATAATGTTAACCACATCTTCATCACTTTTGTTTACAGCATCTAGATACCAATCATCAGCGAAAAGACCGAGATTATCAGCATTAAAATCGCCTAATTTCACGAGAAGAAGTCTTTGAGACTGTTGATCTTGCCAACCGGCCATAAATCGATCTGTAATCGCTCGCCAATCGTTATAACACAAGTTACAATCATGATATGTAGGCGAAAGAAAGACTATTACTAGAGCAGCTCGTTTGTATATGTGTTTTGAAGTTTTTCGACGATCGATTATACTCATATTTGCATGGACAGTCGGAAGGTCGAAGATCAAATTCGAAGTATCTGGCATTGTAATATGTTTTCGAAGAAGTTCACTAATAATTTGCACTCGAGTAGTTGTTTCATCATGGTAGGAGAGAGCAACATTCACGGGATGTTGCGAAACACTAGGTGAGTGTAATGGTGGAAAAATTGAATCTGGCGAAGGAGTAGCCAGTTCTAAAATAAATGAATTAGTTTGGTGTCATTCAATCCTTAACTCTTCCTCTTATGTTTGTACCTTTTTTCACTCACACTATAGGACTATATGAATGTTTACTCTCCATAAATAATGTTTTGAATTGTTTCAGCGAGAAAATAAAGATTAATAGTAACTTTTGTGTGGTAACTTCTATTACCGTACTCGTAAAAACTCACTAATTTGCCGTTCTTATACTGGACATCTAAGACAAGTTACAAAGGAAACTTGAAGTTCTCAAAATAGGAAACAGCATGTTGACATATGATGTATGATTTGTAGAGCAGACTAGGAGTTCATTTGTCTTAGTCTATACCTCTACACAATCTCAATATTTAAATCATTATTTTAGTTATAACAACCGTCTCATGGTCAAAACCTTCAAAACTATTTTATATGATAGCATTTTTGTTCATACCTATTGAACGAATAGTGAAGGATCATTTTTTTTCTGATCATATATTTCAACTATGATTAACATTTATGTTCACAAATTCTATTCTTAAGTTCGCATTTGTTTGCGTACAGGCATCTTTTTTTCAACGAATTCATCTATTTTCCAAGTCTACTACAGCATCGTCTTTTCGATATAAAAGAAAAACTCACCATTGGTTGACGAAAGGGATACAATTGGTTCATCATCAAGAGTAACAATTCCAGCGACACCAACACCTGAACAACAAAGATAACAATTGATATTATCGGAACATATTTTTGCATATTTACGTTCTAAAGTTGATCGATTTATTGTGTCATCGGATTGTAGATAGTTTTCAAATGCTTCAACACTAACTTCACCAGTCTCTTGACCAATCGTTTCTTCCGTATCTATAACATGACAATCAACTTCAAGCAAGCTCCGAAATTAATATTAAAAAAATTATTACCATTAATGATATCTATTGGTATTGCACTGTATGATACGCTAGATGTATCAATGACCGATGTGCGATACGATGATGTATCAATGACCGATGTGCGATACGATGATGAAGCATTGTGAAAATTTCCTCTGCTCAAAAATTCATAAATCTAAATATCGACAATAAAAGTTCATTACAGAAATATTTTAGCATTAGGTCGTACTTGAAATAGATAATGTAAAATGAAGATTAGTAGCTGCCGTATACACTGTCGGAAACGTTCAACGAAGGAGAAGGATCGATTTGTAAGTTTACTGGTATTTGATTGTAGAAAAGGTTCATTTTGTTCATCCATGTCTGACATGTTGGAAAATATAAAATAATCTAAAATTAACAATTTCACTTTATTCGTACTATTTCTTATGTAAATATGACATGATCGTATTTAAAAAAAAACAAACATGATTAGTAAAGTTAGATACTGGAAGAACGAGAAAAACAAGACAGTCACATTCTGCTTGCATTGAGAAAGAAATAACTACTACAGGTGAAGAACGAGTAAAATACATCGCAGTTGATATTTCGCGGAATTTTTTTTACTCATTGAATATTATTCTATCGTTCTGACACAAGACAAAAAATAACAGCATGCTTGGATTTTTCCTAGAATCTAATGATAATACAACTCTATCCTATATTATCATCATCCAGATACAAAATTTAAGTGAATATTCGACGAATAGAATTGCCATCAAATGATACAGCTTTTTTCTATTTCGACTGTGATTTTTTCCGTCTTTGAGACGTATAACTATGTACATAAACATCATTAGATGTGATCTTAATCAACAATACGATTTGAATAAAATTCTTTAGTATACAACTGATATAACGTATTGTAGGTGTATAAAACTTCACTGCTATTATCTATTACCGAAGATATCTCATCTATGCATAATTTCATCATATACTTCAAATACCATTACTGTTTTCTATGTGAATTTCAACTACAGTAGTAACAAAATACATTGACTATCATAATTTCCGATGTATTTATTTTTTCTTTCACACATATATAGCAACACTTATCATTTAATTTGGAAGGAAAAAGAGGTCAAATAAAAAATGAATAAATCACTATAGACATGTTTTCACAATTCGTGACGCATAGGGACATGTTTTCATCATAAGTAGATGGATTTCATCAAAAACAAACAAAGAATTAGTCACGTCTGAATAATTGTGCATGAAGACATCCATTATATAGAGCGAAAGTAATAGATGTGACTCACTGTTCGCGAATGTGTGACGGTGTGTATTTGCGAGCCTTTTAACTTCTGGTACAAGTGAACACTGTGGAGTAGCCATTGTTAGGCAGCTCTTATGAAAAAAAATGAACGAAGAACGAGAGTGAACGGTAGACAATTTTAGATAGTATTTTTCAAATTTTTTTCTGTATTTTTAGAGTGTCTTTGGAATGATCACAACTTTCGAAGCCGAACAAAAGTAAAAAAAACAAATACTTGAGAAAGAAGCCAGTGTTACTGATGAGTTGCTTTTGTAATAGCGTAAGTATTTTTTTTCAAAATCATATTTGAAACATTTTCTCTACTAAATGCCATCGTTCCATAATGATGTCCGCTACTTCCTGGTCGTTCAGGTTTATTGCATCAATATAAAAATCATCATCGTAAAGACCGAGTTTGCTCGCATCAAAATCACCCAATTTAATAAGAAGAAGTCTTTCGTATTCATGATCATCAGCGCCAACCATAAAACGATTTTTTATTGCCCGCCATTCGTGATAACAAAATCGAGAGGTATGATAGGTCGGCGACAGAAAAACAACGACTAGTTCCGCTCTTTCATAGACACTTCGCAAAACTTTCCCTGCATCAATAAGGGCCAAAGCCGCTTGAAATTTAGGCGCATAGAATACCGGTCGAGGTAAGTCTGGAGTAGTTATTTTGTCATGAACTAATTCATTAATTACTTTGACTCGGTCATTTGTTTCTTGGCGATAGGAGAAGGCAATTTTGACGGGATGTTGTAGAAGAACGGGAGATCTGGATGGTCGTGTGTCAGCGGTTGTGGTTGGCGGAGGAATAGTCGGTCCTAAAAATAATTGAGTCATGAAGTATTAAGAGAATGACAAACTATTGCAGAGAAATAAAATACCACTGGTTGAAGAGAATTGTAATGATCCATTGTCGACGGTGAATACTCCAACGATGCCGTTGCCTAATAAAGAATAGCGAGAATAATTGTCCGTTGAAAGGAACTAATATTGATGATCTTACGTTCAAATTCAGCTACATTGGTCGATTCCTGCGATAGTAAAGCGTCTTCTAACACTTCGGTACCAATCTCATTATTATCATGCAAGCTCATTATGTCATGTGTTTCTAAAACAAGAAAAAAATAAACATCGAAAAATCTAAATAAGTTCAAGGAAAGCTTTAAAAGAGTATATCGTTCGAACATGATATGAAAATTATTTGTAACACACGATCGTGTACGATTCTGTCTGTGTCTTATTTGATTTTATTCATATTAATACTAGCATATCAGTAGGAAACTTGGAAAATAAAAAAATTTCTGCGAAGCTCTCATTCATCGGCACCTATTTGAAGGCAAATTGTGCAGCTTTAACGACGATTTTATATTACTAAACGCGTGGTTTTTGTAGTGAGTAGGGAGAAAATTACGAAAGAATGGTAGAAGAGAAAAAATATATATTGCATAAACATCACAACAAAAAAAAGAGGGGAGAAGAATAGCAAAAAAAAGGTTTTATTGTTAGAAGAAAGCGTTTTTTGCCATTGTTGGCGACTCAGAACGGAAAAAGAAAAAGAGAAACAAACACGAAGTCTTTCAAAAATAATGATGCAAACTATATTTCATGTGTCTCATTGTATCGCACAGTGAGTAATCAAGTAGGTAAGAGATGGAAAAATTGACAATCAACTTTTCTTGATCGTCTGTAATCTGAAATCCAACTCATTGGAGATTGTGGCGTACTATGAATGTTGGTTGCGGTAGGGTCCGGTTAAGCGTCACCTGTCTACATCAACAACCGCAACCATAGAACTTATAGCTTCTTCTTTGTTCTAGCTGCCATATGTAACGTTATCTGCTCTACAGTAGAGCTTAAAATGACAGAGGTAGCTGTCGAAAAGTTCCGATTATTATCTTCATCAATTTTCGGATGCTTCCTTCTATGAGATATGGCAGAAATAACGGCAAAATAAAATCTAAAGTTTTCTCCTTGCAGCATTACTGTAGAATTTATCCATTTGCTCGGAAATTTTTTGCGTAACGATTCGGACCAAAATGAAATACAGATATTTTCTTTTTCTTCGAAAAATGTTGTGTTTTTAGAAATAAGAGAACCGAAATATTGAAATCCTCCCCGACAGAAATAGCTTCAGTTTTGTGTCATGTTCAATTGATACAAATATTGTAAAATCTACCAAAGTTCTTTGGTATGATATTTTTTCAATTTAAAAATATTCAACACTTCAATTTGATCGAAGTTGCCATAGAAAAGTTCCAGCTCAACTAATCGAAGTGTCAAGAAGAAAATTTTGATTTTTCTTTCAAGAATCTAATTTTAAGGAAAGTGCAAAAAGTCGTTTTTTGGATTTCACATTATTCTCCACTATTGCAATTGCAAAGTAAATATATGAATACATCTTTGACTAAAATAACACAAGTTCGTGATGAAATAACTGTTAAATGAGAAACATCTCAAAAATGAATTTTACGATACGTGTTCCATCAAACTGAACTTACACTAAAAAAAAAAATTTTAGGGAAATTCAGATGTAGACGATACTGACAAAAAAAAATTGAAAAGACAACACATTTTGTTGCATTAGATATGATTACATTATGCCTGAAGATTATCAAACAGAGTTTTTAAACAATGCAGATAAAATATGCAAAACGATGACGAAAATTTGAAGATATAATACAGACTTGATAATTTGCAGAAGATAGATTGGAACTTGATCAATTAAAATAAAGTGAAGAGTCTTATTAAACGTTTAATTGGGTCAAGTTTTGATTTGTTGCTTTATCGTTCGTCGTGATGATACCGATAGAAATAGAATGTTGATGATATTGTTGGAATACTTGCTTTAACGCCTACCACACGGGTCAAAAATCAGTAAATCTAACCTTAATTTCCGTAATTGTATTATCTATTTTTCACGTCTGATTTTGGTTTCAGAAAACAAAACAATGAGGATAATAGTTTGACCAAATGTGGCACGAATGATTAGAAAGTTTTCTCTATTCTCGATGCCAGTAACGCAATTAATAATTTATCGTTAGTTTATGATTGTATTAATACAGGAAATTGAATAGACAAAAAAAAACTGTGAATCATCATCCCGAGTTCAAACTACAACAGTCTTTTTAGAAATCAAGTATATCTTGACCATTTATAGATCTTTAAAATATTTTATATTTATATTATATTTTATTTTTTTTTATTAATGTTTTTCAGAGTTTATAGTTATTTGTTTTTTGTCATTTTATTTGATGATGTTATTTTTATTAAAATCAACTTTATTTCTATGTTGTGACAAACAATCATTTGATCACATTTGTAATTTCTTCTTTCAATCTTTCATCAATCTCGAATTTTCGATGTCTGAAAAAGATGATAGTCATCATGAACATTATGTTTTCGAAAGCAAATATTGATACATATGTCAAACTTTTCTATTAGAAAAATAGAAACAGATAAATATTATGTATTGAATGGACAATATAACAAATAAAACATAATCAGCGACTAAAAATAGTCTGCTGCTGAAACATTTTCAAAAGAAGAGAAGCAGAATGCTTGCATGAAGAAAAACATCAAAATTAAAATTAGCAGAGAAAAAAAAGTGAAAGATTGTAAATAAAAAAAATTTGTCTTTCACTCTGACTAGCATTCATTCTGAGTGTGAATGTTTTCTGTTTTTTGAATACCATATGCAAATCATTGCCTAGTTAGTTGTTTTTCGAAATTCAAACATTTTATCAACTTTAATATAAGTTGTCATGTACATATATGCTATTTGATTAGTTAGTTTAACAAGCAAATGATAGTAAAGTAAAAGAAAAAAAACAGCTCAACTTAAACTTTTATCTAAAGAATATCATTATTTTTTATTTTATTAAAATTTAACTCGAATTTTTGCATAATTTGATATTATGTTTTATATTACTTGACAATAAATAATTTATGATTAGTCAATTTTGATTGACAAAGTGGCCCAATCATAATTATTCATTTTAATAAAAATATTTTTCAATTATTATTTTAACTTAAAAATGGTTTGGACATCACTGTTCACTTGTTTATTT